GAGAGAGAGAGAGGGCGGGAGTCTTGATCCCGCTCTCGGTCTACGGAGGGCGAAAGCCCATCGTGGTTGAGGATTGAGAAATTGCGCGGATGGCAAAACTAACCCTCTCGTCGCTGACTTATCCCTTCCGACAGGTTGCAATCACTCACGTCAGCTCGGCCTCGGAGGGCCGAAGGACAGACACACGCCGCGCGATACGGCACGGACTCGGCGACCGGTCGCGCGGTACTGCGGCACCACGGCACTCCGCTGCGGATTGCTCTCTGCCGAGGACACTGTCCGAACGACCAGCTCGCTCGAGCGCCCGGGACGCGACTAGCCGGCCAAATCGCGCGCGCTCGAGCGAACGTTTTTAGCACGTCTTCGACGACGGCTTCCTAATTATTTTGGCAGAGATCAGCTCGGGGAGCTGTGCCGCTCTCCCGATCCTCGGCATTGCCTCTTCTTCCTCCACCGCGCGACGTTCGCCGGTCCCGCGCATGTCCTGCCAAGGATGACGCGATTCTTAGAGTAGCTTTTCGATTCTTTTCGATACAAAAATGCATTTTCTGATAAGATCGTTCTCGGGGAAATGTTTCTTCGGCTTAATTGTGAAACGTGAACTCCTCGTCACTTGTTTACCTCCACATTAATTATTTAAGCGAAAAATTTCATCAAAAAGGCGTTCTCTCTTTTAAATATCGCAGACCGAAACTGAATTTTATTTTTCTTGAATTTTTCTTCGATGTATAGAACTGACTGTCAGTGATTATATATTGCTTTTATCTAATTAGTCGTAGAAAATACATGAATTTCCTCTTTTAAAATATTAATGGAAAATATTAAAATATTAATGTTTTAAATTTTAATTTAAATTGTCGAAAAATGAAATATCCACTTTAACTTATAAATTAAAATATATAATAATTAAATTAATGGATTTATAAAATTGAAATTGATAAAGTGCAAAAATATTTATAAATCTGACTTCTTTACTTGAAATGCATAATATAACAGCATAAATTAATGCTTTTAACTGAAAAATAAATATATTTAAATAATTAAAATATTTTTTAAATTTCATGAGACAATTTCGACCTTAAAGGAGTATGTGATAAAAAGAGATATATTTACTGTTTGAAATTTAAATAAATTATGCTTTACAGAACTCCTTTACATAACAAGGGCTAGATTTCCCGTTGAGACACGAGCATACATTTGTTCCATTTTAAGCACAGAAAGCGCGAAAAGCACAGCTGGGAGAAGCAACCCTGTAGTCACGATTTGAGTGAGTGGACTGGTGGAATCTATTTGAAGACGAGATGCAACATGTTGGACGGGCCATAAGGATAAGAAACGTAGAGCGCTTGTTGGCAAACAAGAGAGGTCGCCGTTATATGTGACGAATGCCTCACATAGATATGCGAAATGAGGTAATCTGCTCTGTTGGATTGTTCATTCTCGAGAGAAATTGATATTCTCTCGTTTGTATACAAAGTCATGAGTCTAGCTACTGATGATACTTCGTAAACTATTTAAACGATTAAGTAAAGCATGATCATTTTAGAGTGAAACAAATGTTTCGGAAATATTAAAAATGCACATGTTAGTTTCAGAAATTGTTATATTCTTAAACAATCAGTTTCTTGCTATTCGGATCGATCGGTTATGCGCCATTGTGTGATTCGCTAATAAAATTAAAATTCTTTATGAAATTAATTGAAAGCGCTTTTACAGGGACTTTTAGCGCATTTATGGATTCGTCAGAAAATTATTTGAATTAATTCAAGTTTCTCAAATGAGAAGAGCGTAACTACTTTATGAAAAAGTTAACTATAATATTGACTTGATCTATTCGACAGATGACTTCCTCTAATATTAGTGATGCAATATTCATATATCTATGCTATTGTGACGTGGTACCATGTGGTAATATGAATGCGGATAAATGCACGTTTCGATACTCGACCATCGGTGCACGCATTAACGCGTCGCACGACATGAAATCATCCATCACGTATTTCTGCCGCGGACCCATCGCCAAAGATAACAGAATGCCTTTGAAATTTTTATAAATAGCGTCACACAACTTGTTTTATAACAAGCGGCCAGAAATTACTCGGAGGATTCAAAAAATATAAGAGAAAAAAAAAATAGGTGATACTTAACCGTGCAGCATGAAAAAAATATTTAGCACTCAGTTAAGTTTGCCGGATTTAAAATATTAAAACTGCCCGTTTAGTAATACCAAAGTTTAAAGCATAATAAACTGAACGTACAGGCACACGTTACTTTTCATTAATGCATGAATTTATTTTAATTAAATATACTTTTCAGCGCTTAATTTACTGGTTCTTTTATAATGACATTTAATTATAGTTTAGGATTGCACAAATTACCCGTGACGTCGGCTCGAGATAATTTCTCAATTTGCGAAAATTGTTTTATACGACCGCGCTCGGATGTGGCGGTGACCTACAAAAACTAAAATGAATTCTTGGCTCTAGTTATTATAGGTCGCGTAATACGCACTGCTGTACTGATACGAAAAGCCGAAAAGGTTTTACAGGATTTTACGCTTGATCAAGATTATCAAGATTATTGATTTTACGGCATTTTTATTGACTTTCTCAATGCATGCCAAGTTCCTTTATATATGCGCGAAATTTTTATGCGAGCATTACAGCGCGTTAAAATTTTTTATTTTCTGCGAAACGACACGCTTTTAATCCACGAATTTCGCTTGGCAAGCATTTATTATGCAACCGCATATCTATATTGTGATACATATATAAACGCATCAAAATTGAAGCTCATGCCACTAGTTTAAATTTAATTTTAATTACACAATAAGAATTTTTGTTTAACATTGTAAAAAAGTGAAATCTTTTTTATAGTATTAATCTTTTAATAACGGCAGAAACATATTTTTTGATTTAATTTATTCTATTTTTGCATATTCCAAATGCGATATTAATATCATTAAAAAAAGAATCTCTCTAATATATTGTAATATTATAATTACTTCAACATAAACAATTACGTCAATGTAATTAATGTGAATTATCTTTCCTTCTAGCAATCAGATACTTTCATTATAATATTTTCCTTTATTGAAATAGCCTTGCACTTTTCTAAAAGAATTCTGAGAACGAATAAAACGATTTTCGTAACGAATAGCCATTTAAAAACTTTATTCATTTAAAAAGAATTGTGTCTCCATTTAGCATTATAAGAAAAGTAATAAAAACTGAATATGAATAATACATGTAAAAATCACACGATTTATAATAAAAACATAAAAACCTATTTCTTTATAAATTGTATGATTTTTACATTTGTTACTCATATAATTTTATATTTTATATATTTAAATATATTTTATGATTTAAAGAAATAAGTTACATCAGCAATTCTTAAATTTCTGAATATTGCATGACGAAGAAAATATTCTAAAATTAATATGAGAATAAAATTCCATAACAACTGAGACAGAGTAACACTTTATGGAGACACTTCTGACTTAATTAATTATTTCAATCAAATAGACGCCATTCTAAAGTAAAGACAAGAGCAACTTTTTACTAATCACTATCGCATTTATTGAATTTCGCGATTCATCATCGACTCGATGTCGACGCGTGAAATTTTATAATTTTTTGTAATTTTCACTATAGAGCTGTGTTCTCCAATGCAACTCGACTCTTCAATTACGAATTAGAAAGGTTATTCATGATAATTAAAATTGATCACGAATAATTCTTCACGGGTAATCCTTCTTGGCTTCTTCGTCACTACACTTGCGTTCCCTCCCTCCCAAATTCTCCACTCCGGAAACGGAGACTTTGTCACTGCGCGTGGTCACACTATGCAGAACACTATGCAACTGCACACTATGGGGTTGCGCGGCGGGGGGACTTACCAATGCTTCTGTCTTCAACTTTCGCACTTGGAATCGCTGCGGGGGAGGGGGGGTGTGGACCACCCCCGTTAAATCTTTCACACTGCTCTCTCTTTCTCTTTCTCTCCCGTTTTTTTCGATCTACTACTCCTCGGTGCGCATCGTCGTTCGTTGATGCGCCACTTTTGACTGGGCCCTCTGCGACGTGTAGGAGAGTCGTTTGCGCGACGGCAAAAGGGAAACGAAATAAACAGACATTCAAAAGGGGGCAACGCCTGCGTTGAATAAAACGAAGCGCCGAACGACCGCGAAATTCGTTTAAATAGTCCGTAGCCGTCGCTACCTGGTGGTGAGACGACGAAAGCCTAACTCTGGCCGGAAGCCAGTGGCCCCGGCGGCTGTCGCGAATTTCATCGTCGCTTTTTTACGTTTAACCTTCGAATTCGAAGAGCTGAAGGAGGAAGAGGGATGCAAGGAAAGAAGAGAGAAGGAAAGATAGTGCCGCTTGATCCAAACGTTACATGAAGAAATGCCGTATTTCGATCATTTCGCGTGTGTGACATGCTGATTTAATGGAGAAAAATAGTTCCCTAGTCATCATAAAGAAAACAACTAGGAAGAAATTTGTAATCTCGAAATAATTTTTTCTTCGGTTCTTCGTACATCGTATACTTATTGATGGGTAGATCTAATAAACGAAGGATAATGGAATGTTTTCCCTTTTCTTAAGATAACAAGGGTGGGACGTTTTTCTTTTCTCTTAGAGTAATAGAACATTTGTAGAATAGATGGATGAGTAGACAGATAGATGCGACAGGATAAATAATTACGTGTAGAAAAGTTTTCTTTAAGAATTTGTGACCCAATTGCAACTTTTTACTTATACTTAAAGAATAATATTATGCAAACGTTTCAAATAAACGCTACAAAATGTCATTGCTGATATTTTTATTTTAAAATATCTTATTTCCTCTATTTTTGAGAAGTATCATTAATTATTTACTAAAATAGCAAATACCTAGCTAAGTATTCTAAGTGACAATAGTTGTGAATTTATAATTCTTAAAAAATATTATTCATACAGAAGTTAAAAATCTTCACCTCTATTATTCCATTGTAGAGTTTCAAGAATCAAATGAAAAATATAAAAATTGATAAAATGTTTTTTAGTAACATGATTGCGTTCAACTATAAATATGTAACTTTGCTTCGATCTCGAGCATTATTCTTATTAGAATTATACAAGGCTCGCGTTTTCTTCAAGAACGAAAATAGTCGACTGGCGGATATCCAAAAGCGATATCAAGCAGATCTTCGAGGACAATCCACCACGAGCACTGCCGAGAAATTTGTTCTTCGGCTGTCCCATTTTCATCTTTCGTGTTAACGCGATCAAGGTTTCTCATCACGAGCATCGATCTTTTCTCGGCATCGCCATTCACTTTGTGTACTTTAAACTTTTAAATATTAGTATCCTTTTATCTAATATCCTCTAATCAATATCGTTTTTTAATCTCTACACACGCGTATATATACATATACTCAACAGAGATACAACACAAGCATATTTTCCAATATGCAATTTGCATGTTTTCCAATATGCGCTTACTTTTTTCCAGATCATTCATATTATTGCGTTTATGCAATTTGATATACAATTTTTCCCATTTTTCAGAATTTTATTTGTTATAAAATTTCACACAAATAATATAAAAATTGAAAAAAATTTTAATCTTTTAAATTAATTTAAAAAAAGAAAACTATTGAAATTGATGTTGGATTATCAGAAAACGTGTTCAAAAGTTAATGGTTGAAATTATAAAGTGCATTTCATAATTTTACGTCGAGAAAACATACTTATTTTATGAACGAAACAGTTATTGTGTTCCACGGCCAGTAATAATGCATCGTGGTCCAAGTGTATAAGCACATCTTGAGAGGCATGAAAGAGGTTGCGGGTGAAAGAGTCGGGTCAACGTCCTGTTTCTTGAATCCCAAACCATTTAATATCCAAGTGTGTTTCGTCCTCACGCCGCGTGCACCTCGACGAATTTGCCAAGTCCTCCTCTGATTATCTCGCGCATACCTCGCCGGTATCGCGTTGCACGGGATTGCTGCACGAAGCTGCAATATAACACGACGAGACAATGTACCATACGGGATATTAGTAGCAAAATACCGTCCCAATTTCGCCCTTTAATGACAGCGTCAGGATATGCTTGCCGCACGAAATTGCTTAGCTCAAACTATCTAAGTCTCATTCAAGATTGCAAAAAGATTAATTATCGCAAGATACAAGGATTTCTGATAAAGATATGTCATTGATGTTCATATATTTATCATGATTTATGTATAACGTACTTGATAATGTAATTGATGTAAGAAACGAGGAAATTATATGTACAAGTCAAGTACTTAACGGTTAAAATATGTAATCTGTCTGATGATAAAAAAACGTTCATATTTTTATTCAAATAATATAACTAATAAATAATTATGAAAAGAATATATATCTGTTGCCTGTTCCGCGATAAGAGGAGAGAGAGTTTGTAATTAATAACGGATTGACACGCGTTAAATCTTCAAAACCTTTCATTGCGAAAGAAGAAGATGAGAATAGATCGCTCAGGACATTGGAGATAAGTGCGAAAAAGTGTGTCATAAAGGCGGATGCTTTCTCAGAAGATCTCTTCGTCGCAGTATACTTCAAAGATGAGGCAATCGGCAGTTCTGGGCACTGGATAAACATGTCGGTACCATATACGCTTTATCGCGAAAGTTAGTGCCTCAAATACGTTTGTTTTAAATACATCAATGGATGTGCGGTGTTAGCGATTACGTTTCGGTAACAGGGTTCTGAAAATACTTGCAGAGACAAGTCTGTTTTCTCAATATTGGGTCGTATAATCAGTATATATTAACATCAAATTTTGATCGATGTTATTCCTTCTAATTTGCAATTTAATTGTAAATTATAACAAAGTTAACCATTGTAACAAATAATATCTTGTACAAATAATACTTATCCATAATTTACATTAAACTATTCTATCTGTAATTTCCTTTATGCTTATCGATAATATTAAAAATGTAGATACTTCATCAATAGACAAATTTAAAGGAACTTTTGAATTCACCGGAGTGTACTTTCAAATATTAAATCTTATATTATTCTATTACATGTAAGATGTTTTTTTCCATATGCTTTTTCAGTCTATACAAAGAGAATAATTTTGCTAAAAATTTCAAACATCCGAAAATATGTAATTTTATTGGATCGTCAAAATAATTATGTAGGATTTTCAAATTGATTGCCAGCATAATAAATTTTTGTAATATTATTACTATGTTTAAGTATCCTGCATAATTATTTTGTTGACCTAACAAAATTATTTTCAAATCTGTGTCCAAATTTTCAGATAACAAAACCGTACGTTTTTTTCCGTATGTGTATAATAACGAATTGCGAATTCAGATAACAAAACCGTACGTTTTTTTCCGTATGTGTATAATAACGAATTGCTGAGCAAGAAATACATTCTTATCGATTATAATGCATTTTGAGACATGTGTGTGTGTAAGCACCTATCGAGATTAAATAAATATACGTTCATCGCGCGCTGGATGAAGAAAGCAGGCGTGCGCGCCATAAAGATGACGGACGGTCCTTGAATCCGCAACACGATCGCCGCTCCGGCCTGTCGAAAAACCGAACTGTCGGGACCAGTTAAACGGTCGTCCCCATGAAACATCCGCGCTATCAGCATTTTCTCATTATAGCAAACGAAAATAGACGTTGTTACTTCGTCGCTTACTCTGACCGGCGGTTCAAAGCGTAGAGTTATTTTTAGCCAAAACTCAAAGTCTTACGTAAAACCGGTATAGCCGAGGTATAGCGATGTTTTGGAGCATCATTAGACTAGAGACGTTTCTTCATGCTCGATGTGTCTTGGACCATCCTGTGCGGTGGATTAATCAACCCGGAAGAAGCTAGTACACCTTACAAGTGCAACGCGAGAATGGTTATTTCGAATGAGTTAACGAATAAAAATAGAAAGTTTAATTCAGGAATACTTTTCTGAAAGAGACGCTTTTCAGTCAATTTTTTTTTTTATAAAATTTCAAATGTAAATTTGTTTAAAAATCAATGATTCAAAAAGTTAGTAATCTTCTATACTTTGTATACATGTCACGTCCTGTGTACATGAAAAGAGCGTAGAAAAATAATTAACAGTTTTTCGCTTTTTATTAAATTCTCGTTGTTGTATTGTACTCTCTTTTAATGATCTAGAGACCACACCAGTTTTATAGTGACAATATGATCGAAAATTTCGTTTATAATAATAGTTTATCAGGCCAAACACGTGTTTCGGCGAACTTTATTCGCCGTTAACGTATTTTAGAGGAGTCAATCTAAATATATGTATGAAAGAAAAAGAGAGGAAGAGAGTCGAAGAGTATTACGGGGCACACGCGTTGATGACGGCACAGAGTGTTCTATTTATTTATAACGATTTTTATAAATGAACTGCTAAACAGCCGTGATGAAGCCACCTGTCATGAAACAGGCGATCAATCAAAACGTAAAATGAGTTCAAATATTGACAGACTAATGAAGCGACTGCCGTTCATCTTGATCATATGTTCCCGTCGATTCGATACATGCATGAATAATTGCCATTTAATAATTTTGTTGATAAAATATATCTATTTATATTTTAATAAATTGGAACCAAATATAGATAAAAATGAAGAATATCGATATTATCATTGAAAATAATATCATAGACTAAACTTATTATATACAAACTGAAAGAAATTTTATATGAATTTTATAATGAGATTGTAATGAAGGCCTCTTCCTTTTTAAATAATAGATTTCGATTTTTCCTGAATAAAATATTTTTAAGCGTATTAATTTTTAAAGCGTATTAATTTTTAACACTCGGCATAGAGAAATTAATAATATGTTATAATTACAATTACGATAAATATTCAAATAAATAATTATAAAACTTTTAAAGACTGTCTTAATAAAAATTTAATCGGACGTTAAAAGAGCTTTATTAATTAAGGGCATGAATGCTACGATTCTTCATAAAGATACCACATTAAATCACATCAAGTATACGTATCTCATTGCAATAGTCTCCAAAGACACAAAGATAAATACTAAATGACCGTATCTTCATATTTCATCTGACATGTTTCTAAAGGAAGATCACTGAAATAATTTTAAATCATCAGCAGAATCGCATTCACCAAATTTATGAGATATTATCAAAGAGCAATTCACGTCTTTCC